CCGGCCTTTCTGAGCTGATCTGGCGGCATCAAGGTAACGAGTTGGAAGAGAAGGTCAGGCTGACCCTCGAAAAGCTCCGGGACTGCCTGCCGCATCGCTTCCTCAAACGCCTCTGCATCAGCCCCGGGAATACCGTACCAAGTCTTTGTGGCACCGAAGTGTTGATAGTTGGCCGAGTACGCATAATGGTCTTCATTATGCCAGCAGAATGTCGAGAAGCACATGCCGACATAAACCCAGGGGACTGTCATGCCAGAGATGTCCGACTTGATATGGCGGAACAACGAGTCACCGTGGAAAGGAAGAACATTCAGGTTCCAAGGGTCAACTGAATAAGGATCGAGGGGATTCCGTTCAATAGTAGGAAATCCACTACCGTGAGTAGTTGAGTGGATATCAGCACCATATTCTACTTCAACGGTCTCTGTCAGGCTTTCCACCAATCTCCAGAACTCGCGTTCCACGTCGTCCTCAGACTCCCGTCTGTGGCTGTTCAGGACTGGATCAAATGGCATCTTTGAGGCGAAATAACTCTTTTTGAAGTTATTTGCCTTTTCTTGGAACTGTTTCAGCGAGTAGACTCCTCCTTCTTCGAAGCCAAACTCCCCTGTGCCTACCAGGCACTTTGGGCAGTGCCAGTCGTACTCGGGGATGGCAGTCAGAGGGGGGTCAAGACAGTACTTGTGGTATCCTTGCTCGCAACTATCGCATACCAGGATCGAGGAGCTATCTTCTGATTTGCCACAATTCTCACATTTCTAGGTACAGTTAGCACATTATAATAAAGATCGACAACGTGATATCAGCTTACATCACCCGTCTTGCGGCCGTCACTCTTCCGTGACCGGGGAGGAGCAGGCCGAAGAAGACTCATATGGGAACCGGCAATTGTAGGTAAAGGCGCATCTACGAAATCATTAGGTTCGCATACAGTAACGGATGGTAATAATCTTTACACACCTTTGCGGAGACGCTTACTACGTCGACCGTTCGGGTCGTCTCCATTCTCAGTTTGAGAACCACTTTCGTGGCTAATCGCGCGCTTTGTATGATGGCCATGGCCATTGGAGACAGGAGTCGAAATTGAAGGATGCTCAGCCACACTTTTCGGTGTCAAAGAGCCATTCTCTATTTCACGCTTTATGGTCGGATTGTTGTTTACCGCCACAAAAGATGGCGACCGGTTGACAGCAGTAAATCCCGAACTAGCATTCACAGGGGTGAATCCAGAAGCTATCGGCCGAGGAGGCGTCGGCTCAACTGGAGGTGTTGGTTTATCCGGGGTTGCTTCAACCTCCCTCGGAGTGCTCTGCGGAGCTGATGGCGGGAGACTCATTGTTCCCTTAGGAAGCATGTGTGGCGTGCCATTGTCAAGTGGCATGGGCTTTTTAGCCATAGGCGACTGATGAGGCGATGGTGTGTAAGGACCACCATGTTCCAGCTCCAATTGCTGCTGCACCCCGGGCTTAGCCACGCGGAGGTACTCTTCATATGGTTGGAGCCATCGCTGATAGGAATTCTTCAGCGAGGTTGAAAGTGAAGACATGATCTTGCCACTGTAGCCAAGATCGCGGCCAATCTCAGCCCACTTCTTCATCTTGCATACTTGGTCAAAGCCACCCCTAACCTCCACAGCCTTCTTCAACTTGTACAAATCCAGAGGGCGTTTATCGACGCTCGGGAAACGGTTGAGATTGGTTCCATGTTGTTTGTGGAATTTGGCCAGTTGATCGAGATAATTTAGATTTGCTCGGGTTCCTGGGTCCGGGTCAGAACTGGGCTGCGGAGCACCACCGGCGGCAGACGTGGCTGAACGCGGGGGCATACCTCCTTCAACCGAGTTGAGCTCCTGTCGGCGGGTTTTGAAGTGGAATCGCTGTGAGACTGTTTGTCAGCCTCCATACTTCACTTATAGTATTGTGAATGGCAGAAGAGGTGAAAGGAATCCCCATCCAAGCTGATAGACAGCCCTAGATGTGTACCCTGGAGAGCCAACAAATCATGAAAAGCATGCACATACCTCTGTATCAATGGCAAACGGCGGTTGCCAGCCTTCAGGTGGAATAATCCTGCAAATTCCATATTTCTTGCCTTCGGGCGCTATCTTGCGGATGTACTTTTCCGGATCCTTGAATTCCTCCTCAGTTGGCCGAAACGTAGGAGCCTCTTGTAAACCGTGAGGTCGGATACGTTTACTTGGCTCTCGAGGGGCATTGGGTTGTCCCCGTCGCTCCACTGTGGACAAGTCGAGAGGTATAGACCGTCGAGCACTTAAGGGTACATTGTGAGAATGCGACGGGTGGGTGCTAGAGGATCGGGTGGGTTGACGGCTCGCCGAAGGCTGTCCGCCAGTCGAGTTGCCTCCTGTCGAGGCCGGAGCCACCATTTCTTATATGCGACGGTCTGATCGCGAGCGGAAGAAAATTGCGCGTGTCTTATCGCGGATGGAAGGGGGCAGTCATCCGATGTGAAAGGCACATGAGAGAAAGGACAACCGTCGAGGAGTGGAGGAATACGGATGGTCAAGCAAGTGAGCCGACTGATTGAGGGAAGTAGTAAGGGCAGCGGCTATATGTGAGGCACGCCCCGGGGGGGAGCAAGTCGATGATGGAGAGGATAAAGTAGATGTCTAAGGCAAGCCCGAGATGAACCCGAGAGGACAAAGAGTGTGGAGAATCTCGGAAGAGGATCAAGAACCGGTAGCGTGTGCCACCAGGCCAAGGGCAGGTCAGCGCAGGAAAGTAAACCTAGGTAGCAATTCGGTTGTTGATGGGGGAAGAGGAGCTATGCGTGTAATTGTGAGTTAGCAGCCGGTAACGATTGGAGGAATGATCGTAGATCGATGGGTAGTTAGTGTTGAATTGGGTGTGTAAAGTAAAGTAAGGTAGGGCAGGTGGTTGGTTAGGTAAGTAATCCGACTAAGTCACTCACGTCAAGTTAGTTAGTCGTACCTCAGTTTAGGTTCGGTATGGTACTTACTTACGGGACGGGAATTTATTCGAGAGGGTCCAGCGTATGTGTACTCCAAGTGGGAAGAAGATATAAACCTACCTCAGTAGTCGTACTATACTGCCGGTAAGTTCATGTCAGCTCCTCCGTCAACTAATATTACAGAGAGTATATAAGTGGATGAATTGACCTTTGGAAGGATATTTTTTTGTTTTTGCTTTCAGAAGATGGAGGGAACGCACCATCGGAAGGGAAGCCAAACTAAAGGAAGGGGGGCTGAAAAGGATGGGGAAAAAAGAAAAAAGAAAAAAAAAAAAGATGAGAAAAAAAAATAGAAAAGTTATACCTAGGCTTCGATCCATGATTTGTATTGCAATTGCTTCACTACGATTACTTTACTTCTGGGGCTGGTAGCGAAAACCCTTGAACCGTAATATCAGGTCTTCGTATTACGGTATCGAAAGATATCTGCTGGCCGCAAACGGTGCGATGTGACGAGATATTACCAGAATTGGAAATTGCACGTAGCTGGAGCTCCATCGCAGGCTATATGAAGAACGTCTATTGCATTTTTCCTACACTATTTATACTCCGTAGATAGTTGAAGAGCGAACACAGATTCCATTCAGGTGGAATAACTCTACCAAGCATCTTTGCAGGTTCAATTGAGTAGAGGGAATGATCCCTCCCCAATGGTACTGTACCGCAGGAGACGTATGAAGTTGGTAACTATTACCGCAGGCTTATGGGGGGTGTCGGGCTGTCCACTACCTAGTTTCAACCGCAGGTCGTTCTCATGAGATGGTTAACGTATCTTCCTACAAACAATACAAACTAACCCATGAAAGATGCAATATCTTTTCCGCTGACCCGAGTCGGTCTCAGGAGAAAAGCATTGTCCCGGTAGGGTACCTGAGCCCTAGGGAGTAGCGTGTACTCCGTATGGGGTCTATGAAACGCAGTCAGTTATGACACGTCAACCATGGTCCGGATCCGACCACAATAGCAATGATCCCTAATTGATAATGAGACATAGTCTGACTTCAAATGCTTCTGAGGGCCACCCAGAACTTGTTTAGCGGATTTGTGCCCTGATAAGCGTCTTTTGTCACTGGTCCATGATGGTGGTCGTCATGCAGGATACGCTATTTTTCATATCACATGAACCCGTAATTTTACAAGTGGGTTGCTTCCGGACTAGATCGGGTTTTCCAGTCCATAGCGAAGCCACCGCGTCGGCTTTGTGTTTGTCTATCATCTCAGAACGGAGTAGTGAGGTATGCGAGTGATTTTCCACGGGGCGAACCCACGCTTATCGAGTATGGATGTACATACTATTTTCCAATAAATAATAATAGGCCATCTTATTGACCCCAACACTACCACTCAAAACTTGTATGCACTCTGTACGTACTACAAATGGGGTTTCTACTCTCATAGCTCTAACTACCTAAATTCTATAGTTTATATATTCAACCTTTCTCGTTTTTTTAATCTTTCTGTATTAGTCGCTTGGATTATCTACCAAGCACTTTGACCCCTTGTTGTATCGCGCTGACATTGCGGATCATGCAATCCCCCTTCCGATATTATTCCTGAGGCTGAAATGGAAATTCATTAAGTTCTTGGTGAGATCATATGATTCCAGTCTGTGGTGCCTGAGGCATGCCACGATTCTCTGCTTTGACACCAGCGCAGATTTCAAATTTCCATGGTTCAGTTGCCTCGTTTTAGGATGTGGGGCTTGTGTAATGTTACATTGCATAAATACAGGAAGTAATCTTTTCCCAGAAAGAGACAACTTTAAAAGACAATATTCAGCAGTAGGTGGCACTAGGTGCTGCTTATAACATGCGTATCATGTGACCAGGATATATATCAGTGCGACAACATTAACAATAGTTAACGACAACGAATGCAGCTTTCCCATGGGATTGTCACCATCGTACAATGCACATAGGCAAAGAGGCAAATATCCACAGACACAGACCATCAATTTTGAGTATAACCAAGTTTTGGTAAAACGGTGTCACACCTGAGTCCTCTGAGCGATGGCCGATGTGGATGACGTCCATACAAAACCTATCCCGGCGTTTTATTGCTGTTATCTCCTGAGATCAACCGTTCGGCAAACTTCTCTGTACATTGGCTCCACTCCTCATCCATCTAGACGGCTCGCGCAGCACAATGGAGTCTCAAAAGGTGGAGCACGCAAGACTGCAAATGACAAGAGACCTTGGGAAATGGTGCTCATTGTAGAAGGCTTTATGAGTCGGACTGCTGCCTTGCAGTTTGAGTACGTGGAGTTTTTTGGCTCTTCATTTTCTTCATCTACCTCCTCCCCCGCCCCCTTCTTTCCTGCCCCGAGCACTTGGTTCTTGAGTTAGTGCTATATACACGACTTAATCCTTCTCATCATTAGCCTGGACTATATATCTAATATCTCTGCAGATGGGCATGGCAGAAGCCGGGCAAATCTCGCCATCTTGGCTTTGGTGATGATAATACGGAATCTGCCGGAGGGAAGGGTAGGACCCGGCCTCGTGGCCCCGCGAGGTCCTTGAAAGGGCACTTGGAGAATTTGCACGCTTTGCTACGATCGACATACTTCTCTAGTCTACCTCTCAGAGTACGATTCTTTGCTGAAGACGTTCACCAACTGTGGAGGGTTTGGAGTGATCGCGTAGATGGTGTCATTCCGGAGCACATCAAAGTTATCCCAGATGGTAGCTGTGTCGAGAATAAGCAGCCTGGCATCGAGTACGCAAGAGTTGGTAGCGTCGAGCACATTCAGGTCGATTACAGTAAGATGTATAATTACTTGGAGAAGGCAGCGTTTCAGCTGGACGATCCAGAAGACTTGCAGTGCAAAGTTTGCCAAACACCGGTTGTCCCCAAGGAAGAGCTGGTAGTTGTCTGTCCTCAGATGCGCTGTTACTGCGTGAGTCATTTATTATGTCTATCGGCTAGGTTCCTAGATTCTACCACGGAGCGAGGAAGACTCGTACCCATAGCTGGAAAATGTCCTGGATGCCACAAAATTGTCCAATGGTCCCTGATGATGCAGGAACTGAGTTTACGAACCCGAGGAGAAAAGGAATTGCAGGCTATTTTGAGGAAAAAGAAACGAGGGGATTACAGGAAAAATGACGTTCCGAGTGAGGACACTGATGATGTGAGCACAGCTACTGCAGAACACTGTGACTTTCCCGAGTCAGTGGGTAGCTCAGTAAAGGGGCCGAACAACGCCTCCGATGAAGGCACCCACGACGACATCCCTCTAGAAGATGACTGGTATGAGTCGCTGGCCCTCGAATCAGACCATGAGATCGATGATTGGTCGAAGGGCCATCCTGCAATGGCCACAAGAGTCGAAATAGTCATCGAGGATAGCGATGGGTGATAATACAGGATAAAAGCTCCCGGGATTCGCCCTCAGCCAATCGAGTCCGAATCAAGCTGCAATCGAGTCAAACTTCCGCAAAGGCCCAATAATCCCAACGCGCGCTATGCAGTCAGTTGCTTTGCTCCAAATCTCTTCTGATACTTCTTGAAATGATCTTCCTGCATCTACAACGTGGATGTCGCCATGGGGTTGCAGGTCAAATAAAGTCTGGAAGAGTTCGCGCACACGGCTCTGCATGGTTTCGTTCTCATACCGCTCCACGCCAAACCCGCCCCGCTTTGCGGCCTCTGTAGGGAGATACGAAGGAAAAGGCACATGTCTGGTCGGGGCAATCCGACTTCTGGCTGCCACGCCCAACCAAGAGACAAAGTTGGAATTCCTTTTGCGGCAGAGTACACGGCACCGGAGTATGAGTAACGGTCCACAATCACGGTGATCCCTTTGGCTATGTCTGCTTTAATATCCTTGGCAATCTCCCAACGGTTGGCAGAGAAGAGGAGATGAATTGAGTGGTCATCCAACTGTGACTGACCACGTAAATAGCTATCAATTAGTTTGCCAATGGCCGTGGTGCGGTCTGGAAAGGAACTAAATTAGAGTGTTGTCCGCATGACCGGAGAGATCCTGCTGCGAGAGATACCTGGAAACCGAACATATTTTACTAAGTGGCCTGACTCTTGCAGATAGTCGCGCAGGTGCTCACACTGGCTTGATTTTCCAGCTCGATCCAAGCCCTCGACGACAATGAGCGCCCCGCGTGTTTCTCCGCGATTTGTGTTTTCTGACATGGTGTATGACTGATTGATAATAAGAATAATAATGATAATAGTAGTTGCAATAGTTGACTATGAAAGCAACGTTTGGAGTTGGGAAAAATTCAAAATATCCCTCGAAAATAAAATACAGATTTCCTGTCCGACGTTCAGAGGAAGAAGTAACAATGCGGAGTTGTGAACAGCGGAGACTTGGGTTGATTAAATTCAGGGACTCCGTCTGTATTTTCAGGCATCCCACTTCCCTCTTTTGGTCAGATTAATTTCTCTTTTCCCCGAACATTCAGCAGATCAGCACTGCGCCAGTCTCGAATCTCTCCGGTGCACGCCATGGGTTCTGATGTTTCGCAACGGCCTCCCAATGATATGGTCAATTTTAGTCTTCTAAATTCTGTTACTGCGTCAACATTAGCCCCGCGATTGGGCAAGCTGGCAATCGCGGGCAGAAATGCTATCCTTACGCCGCACTACATCCCATTGACGTCGCGGGGAGCCGTACCCCATGTCGCGCACGATGTCATGCGTGAGCAGACTGCTATTAGCGGTCTGTATTTTGCTCTAGAAGATTGTATGCATTTGACTACGTCCCCAACTTTTCGATATCCTGGGTATTTTGAAGCACGCAAGGCGCTGACAGTTAAAGATCAGTCATAGAAAAGCTGCAGAAGAAAGCATGCCCACCGGTCTACAAGACGCCAGCTGCGCCGAATGAGTCGCCTCTGCGCAACTTTGTTTGCCTCCCCGAAGATCCTGTGCTGGTTTTGGGCCCACGTCGCGTGCCGCCGCTCGCGTGTCCGCCATCGAATACACCAAACTCGATTGCTGTGCTCACCGCCGTTGGCTTCGGACAACTGGGGACTGGTCAGTATGTCGAAGCCGTGCAGAAATTACGTCCAGATATTGTGGTGGGCCTGGCCGATTTGGTCTTGACCCATCGGCCTGGCTTGAAGAGACAAGGGAAGATGGTGGATAGGACTCATGCGTTCACTACGTATTCTACGGAGCAGCTTTATGGAGATGCGGTCTCCGAGGAAAATCGCTCGAAGACGGCTTACTTTGCTCCCATATTACCGTTGGACAATGCGCAGCAGACACTGTACTTGGATGACCTGGAAGACGAACTCCGACGGTACATTTCCGGTCTTGCATTGTATGAGTCGGAGTCGCTGTCTGTCGTTCCCGAATCTTTAGGACATCTCCCCCGGTTGCTCTTCAGCGAACCAGCTACTCCACATGACATTTTGCGCGAAGTCTCCCTTGGCGCTGACCTTCTAACAATTCCGTTCTTGGGTCACACCACGGACGCCGGCATGGCCTTGGACTTTGTCTTTCCGCCACCATCTGATGCCCATGACACATCTGCCACACAATCCAAACCGCTGGCAATTGATCTATGGGCGCCTACTTTTACAACGGACACAGCGCCGCTCAACGAAGCATGCCAGTGCTACACCTGCCGAAATCATCATCGCGCATATATCCACCATCTTCTGTCGGCGAAGGAAATGCTGGCTTGGGCTCTCCTCCAACTCCACAATCTCCACACGATGGATAGTTTCTTCGCGAAGATCAGAGAAAGTATCCAACAGGGTACTTTCGAGTCAGATGTTCAAAGATTCCAGCGTATTTACGACTCTCAACTACCTGAAAAAACAGGCCAGGGCCCAAGGTAAGCTAGCTCCTCGTTTCTCTTCCTATCCGTTTCAACGTAATACCACTGACACGATCTTTCCACAGAGTTCGTGGCTATCAGGCCCCAAGCAGGGGACCAAATGAACCTCGCCGTAACCCTCGCGCATATGGTCGCTTGGACGCCATAGGAACGCTTGCCGAATCGCAATCCTCCATTGCTACCCCGGACACGGGGGCCGAGGGGCTCGAGGAACATGGATTTGCCAAGAAGTTGTCCTCCTGAGTTTCAGTTTTACAGTATATATGAATTCTATACCTGACGCTACTGACACGAATTTTGGTGCTGAGGCGTATGTGGTGTTCACCTTCGGTTTTGTTTCTGCCTCCCATAGTCTTGATTCTTGGGGATCGATACTGTTTAAAGCGAGCAAATGTGCCCCACAATGATGCATTCCAGCTAGATATAAGATCTCTAAAGCTTAGACTGTCATTCAATAACTACAACGTGATTATGATTGATCATAAGATCATGATGCCATGAAGCAAATATGAACATGGGAACGATGTCACTCATGGTTCCTTGACGCGGTTTTATACTGTGCAGTACCCGGGACTAAGAAAACCCAACGCTGCTTATTTTGCGTTCAGTAGGACCCTCCACATAAACTTCTTCTCATCCTCCTCTTCCTCCGATCCCATCTCGGTGCCCGCGCCAAAGTCCTGCCCGACAACGCAGACGAGCCAAACGTCGTCCTTGGTTTCATTGAGGAAACGCTCGGTTGCGGAGTTACGGGGGTAGATGCTGCGCCATTCATCCCAGATTCCAAACGCCTCGTCGCCCCAAGCGCGGAAACTGACCTCTTCAATGATAGTGGGGGTGACGATTTCTTTTCCACGAAAGACACCCCATGTGACGGAGTTGACATTATTCGGGTTCATTTCAATGGGATCAGCGTCGGAGGTTTGGGCCGGCAGAGACGATTCGAAGTCACCCTTAGCATTGGCGGCGAACCAGGCAAGTTTCTCATGCCCGTGCTTCTGAAGTAGTGGCTTAAGTATTGAGTGGTAGTCTTTGCTGGGACAGAAAAACTCAACGAATGGCTTCTGGAAAACGAATCCTTCGCGAGGGGGACCCCAGCCGTAAATAGGGTCATCACTACGAACGCCGTTCACAGCTGGCTGAGATGCTAACGTCCACCAGCCATTACCATCAATGAGTTGTAGAAGCTCTGGACGAATGACTTCTGTCTCTGCATTCAAGCCAGAGCTACCTTCTTCAGCACCGCCTTCTGACCATGGAACCATATGCAGTTCACCTGAGACGTGGCGGTGGAAGAGAGCGCTGATGTCCTCACGCGACACCGGGAAACCCCAGATTCTGTGGGCAACTGAAGGAGGAACGTGTAATGATGGGCCATAGCCATCAATCTCACCGAATGCTGGCGAACGAGCATCACCCCAGCGACCGTTGGGGAAGTCATCCCACGTAGCCTCCCTACCAAGTGCACCCAGACCTTCAGAAATCTGAAGGGTTGTACTGCGATCTGGTGGCATCGCAGGCATCCCAGCACTAGTAGCGGGGGCTTCATGAGAAATGGAGGCCTTCGATGACACTTCAGAAGCGTGTAGTTTGTCTACAATGACCCGGTTATGGGGAAGGGAATTGATAGACGAAGCCCTTCTCCTGGTTAGAGAGCGAAGTCGAGCCCCGTCCATGGCAGAGATATCCTCGCCATCTTCTATTGCGTCGAAATCTTCAGAATAAGGAGGGATCAGGTCGCAGCGTTCCAGGATGAAGGACACCGTCTTCTCAAGATTCAGTGTATAAAAGTGAAACCCTCGGATTCCAGGACAAGGGATATCTCTCATGCCATCCACAAGATTGCTGATAATATCCACACCAATGCGCTTCACAGAATCGTCATTGTGTTTAACTGCTTCTAGCTCCGAGAGAATCTGGGGCGGAATTTGGACATGGCTGAGTTTTGTCACCCTCGTCAAGATCTTGTAGCTGTGGATTGGCATCAAGCCAGGAATGATAGGGATGGTCTTGAAGGCGCCCGATTCGTGGTTCCGTAGCATATTCTCAAACTTAGTGTATGCCTCAATATCATATGTCAACTGAGTCATTATGAAGTCTGCACCCGCCTGAGTCTTCTCGACTAGATATGGAAGATCGGTCTTGGGATCCTGGACGTCTTGGAAAGAATCGACTGGGTGACCTTCTGGGTAGGCCGCCACACCTAGACAAAAGTAATCACCGTACTTTTGGCGAATGTACCGTACTAGGTCTACCGCAAACGTAAAGTCCTTGTTGCTATCGTCTTCTCCATGCATGCTGTATTCCTCACTGCGCGGCGGATCGCCACGAAGAGCCAGGATATTGCGTATTCCCAATACCTTGGCCTCTTCTAGTGCCTCATCCACCAAGGCCCGACTCATGTTAGTGCAGGTAAGATGTAAACATGTTGTCAATTGCAACTGGCGCTGGCAGATTTCCGCCAACTCGAGAGATCTTTGTGCAGTGCTACCTCCAGCGCCCCAGGTGACCGTGACGAACAATGGTCGCAAAGCTTGTGCCATGCGCTCCAGACGGGCTTGAAGGTTGGCAAAACCCTACGAGAACCAGACTTGGTTAGCAGTCAATCTTGATACCTGGAAGTACCCTCAGTGCGGGGAGGAGGGGTACCCCACCATCTGAGTCTTTGGAGGGAAGAACTCCAAAGAGAAGTAGTTTGCGTCCGGCGGCAGCGCCGCAATCTTATCCGTAATCTTCTCCATCTTGTTCCCAGAATCTGTTCCGTCGAAGGTACGGGGAAGGTGGTAGTTGAAGAAGGATGACTGGGGCGATATCCATCGGGGAGGGAAAGGTTTGGGCCGGAGTTTAACGGGCCCTCCGATTAACGGAAAGGGAAACATGCCAATGCCATCTCCATGAAGTTAGGATTCCATGACATGGTCGAGAGAGACTATGATCGGGACTTCGGTGGTCTTAATTGGATCTGACCTTGAAACAGTTTGCATGCTATCAGCGCAAGCTACCCAAAAGATGGGCCCATCATGGATTCTCCAACAAACTTACTATTTGGGATTCCAAGACGCCTGGTTGCAAACATAGCAAACATCAACCCGTTGTCGCGGATCAACACAGTATACATTCATGGATGAAATCCAGACGCTACAACTTTCGTAGATCCGCAACAATTATAGATCACGGCGCAAGATGTTCCTGTTTCGACGCCAATCGGTGCCCTTTCACCGGAATCGCCTTTCATTATCTTTCAAGCATATGTCCCGCCGCCAATTCTCTACTCCCACCTCTTCCACTCCAAAGGCTCGACATCTCGCCTCCGCAAGCTGAATGATCGGCTCCCGTCCTTCCTTCGCGCCTATACGACCCCGTTACTTGGGGCCCCGGGAACGCATATTACCTCCTTTTTGATCCTACATGAACTTACCGCCATTGTACCCCTATTCGGACTTGTGACGGCTTTTCACTACGGCAATTGGCTACCAGACTTAACCTCAAGTAACGCCTTTGAAGAAGGAACCCGACGATTCGGGCGGTGGTTGCAGAAGAAAGGCTGGGTCGAAAATGTTGATGTGGACGCCATGGAGTTGGCCGGAGGTGTAAACAGCTATGACCCTGTCACAACAGATCAAATGACGGAGAGCGACAGGAAAGGTGTACGCCTGGTGCTAGAGTTTGCGACGGCGTATGCGGTCACCAAGGCTTTACTACCGCTCCGGATTGCCGCAAGTGTCTGGGCGACGCCTTGGTTTGCCCGAGCCATACTGGTACCGACAGGAAAAGGGTTCAAAAAGCTGTTGGGGAGAAAGTAGAGTTTGACGGCCACTAGTGTCACTACAAATTCCGGATTGATGATGATGATGCACCAAGACCGGGAAGTACATAAGACTATTTTGCACAGAGTATTTAGGCTTGTAGATATTGTATAATTTCTATTTCTCAGGACGTCTTTTCTGATTTATATCATTTGCTGCCCTTACAGTTTGAATCGAACCAGGGAGCAGATTTTCAAATCTTCAGATCGAGCAGAGAAATTTAGGCCTTCTCGTAGATCCAGTCGAACTGGCTGTGCTTGTACTTCTGGAGCTCCTCAGGCTTGAACCAGAGAGCAATCTCCTTCTTGGCGTTCTCGACGCTGTCAGAGCCGTGGCAGACGTTGCGGCCAACATCCTATACAAGAGTAAGAGCCATGCACACAGAGTGTTACGGG